TTGTTTAAATATTTTGAACCTTTATTTGTCTATCAATTTATTATTGTTTAAATAGTTCATCTTAATTTATCTGAGTAAACAACATTACAGTTTATTTATCACCTTACCCAATTGTCATCAATAGACAAAGCAAAACACAAATGATGAATACAATCATTGCCCAATCCGGTATATGACCTCGAGCACGTGGCAATGAATATTCTTGCGAAAGTGTTGCTTCAAATCGATCCAATAAATTTTCTGTTACCTTTAAACTTAAAAAATTCGAATTTTTTAAAATTGATTATTTAAAAAATTGTTGAAAAACTTTATTTCGACAATGACGAGCAAACGAATTTTACAATATTATTAATGTAATAATGAATGGTGAAATATCTCTTTTTTACATCAAATTTCTGCATGAAATACAATTGTCGTATTTTTTTTTCAGTTAATTGTACGTTTTATTTTCGTAAATGAAATAGAATTGTAATTCAAATTGATTAAAAAAAAAACATATATTACCAAAATTTTGAAATGTGAAAACAAACATGATCATTGCTTTGATTTGTGCATATTATCAATTTCATGACTTTTAATTTTCTCTTTTAGTTTTCTCATTTTTTAAACTTTGATATCGATTTTTTCCAAAAAAAAAAAGAAAGTACTTACCACTTTTAAAGAATAACCATTTTCAAAATTTACATTTTCTGATTCAACAATTTCTTGCAATGGATCGAAATAATGTTGTTGATGTTGTTGTTGTTGTTGTTGATTAATTGAAAAGTCATAAGTTGGCAAGGAATGGAATGGATCAATTTTTTCTCGAACCAATGAACCATATGATGCAAAAATATACTACAAAAAAATATTGCAACACAAACAACGATTTTTTTATTAAAATTAAAAAAATTTCGTTTTTTTTTTTTTGTTCCTGAAATTTCATCTTACAAATTGCTTACGTTTTGTCGAAAATTTGTACAATAGCTTATATCCATTCCTAAAGTCGTATATCCCACTTCATATTCTTAAAACCGGAAACTCACCGGTGTTTGTTGTAGTGTTCCGGATGCTAAATACGATAATGTGCTCCTACGCATAAGCTATAAAAAACAGGAAAAAAAATTGTTTTTCATTTTAATTTCATTATTTTAAATCATTCACACAGTCGATATGATAATATTTTAAAATATAACATAATTTTATGAAAATTTATAAAA